GGCCTCAGAATGAGAAGGTGGGTGACTGAAGAATTATACATCTTCCCTTTACTCATTCCCTTTTGATGCCACTGTGCAAAAATGATATAGCAGACTGTGCTTCAAAAACACAAAGTATAGGCATTCTAGGTCTATTTTGCCCCCTCTGGGATAACCCAACTACTTCCCGGATATAGAATCGAGATCTGACTGACAATTGGCTGGAGAGCCCATAGCAGAATTGAAATTCTCCACAACTCCTCCCTATTTAGGTAAAATAATTTTTATTCTTTTGGAAAATCTAGATTCAGCAGGAAAAAGAGACTCTAGAACAGAGGTCTCCAACCTTTCTCAGTTGGCGGACTGGAGTGAAAGGAAGGGGGAAGCATTTTACACATCTGCACATGAGCACACACAAACGGGGCCACGAGCACACACGATGCAAATGGTGCGGTACTAGCACCTGTGTGACACTCACTAGCATCACCCCGTTTTTGCCATGCGGGCGCTAGCACCGCCCTGTTTTTGCTGTGCAGCGCCCTGTTTTTGCCACACGGTGTCCCATTTTCACCATGCAGCACACTGTTTTCGCTATGGCAGTGGCACTAGTGCAAGTGGGGGTGAGTGCATGCACACATGTGTGCCCTGGCCAGCCTGTTCTGCAACCAAAGCCAAAAAGATGCTTTAAGAGTAGATATATGCAGGTTGTTGACACTTTCTTAACTCAAACATGTATTTTCCTGGAAATCTGCAGCTACCATGTTAGTTCAGGAAAAGATGCATATTTTTTTAAAGCAGTGGCGATTGGTATGGTGTATGAACCTCTGGCCATGCAAATTATTTTTCCACTGCATATCACTCCTGTTAATTTAAGTATTCCTTGTCATTTTGAAACTGCTAATAAATGATTAAAATAAATTAAGTTGAATGATATTCTTTGCCAGTGGGCAATTTAGGGTTTAATCCATAAACTGTGGATATTGAAACTTGCCAAAAATAAAACATTCCCCACCCACCAAATATACCCACATTTGCCAGCACTATGACATTACTACACAGAAAAAACCCTATTTTTTGAAGTCAACATTCCCATTTCATGCAGATGCTGTAAGGCGGAAGTGAGCAAATTGCAAATTGAGTTGCATTTTTTCATGCTTATTAATGGAAGACTGTTCAATTTTTTTCACCTATCAAAATCTTTGTAATATTTATTTATCTTCCTATCAAATGGAGGTATCCCTGCCTCCTGCAGGAATAAATGTTTACTCTAACACAGGGGTGTCAAACTCAATTTCACTGAGGGCCGTATCAGCATTGCGGTTGCCCTCAGGGGGGCAGATGGGTGTGGCCTACTTGGTGGGCGTGGATGGAGTAGGTGTGGCCAACTTGGTGGGCATGGCCAGCTCTACATTGTTCGTGTCAAGGGTGCCTGTGCGGGCATGGGCAGGAGTGGGATAGATCTGAGGGTCTCTGGCAGAAGGGGGTGGGACCAGGGCAAGTGCCAAGGCATGGTCCACTGAAGCATGGCTTTTCAACCAGTGGTACGGGTACCACCTGTGGTACATTGGCACCTGGCAGGTGGTACACGACCATCCTAGAAAAGTGGTAGCGGGGGAGGGGAATGAGCTGAACCGGTGGCAGCACCGCTCAAACCTAAGTGAGAGATGGCTGGAGCTGCAGGGCTGTCAGGGCTCAGCGGAAGCACCAGGATCAGCGCCAGGCTCCAGCTGGAGCTCGGCGCTGATCCTGGTGCTTCTGCTGAGCCCTGAAGAAGCACTGATCAGCTGGAAAGCAGCACTGATCCTGTGCTTCTGCTGAGCCCAGAAGAAGCACCGATCAGCTGGAATGTTGCAGCATCTCTAGGGTCTTATGATTTACATTCAGATGCTTGGCAACTGATTCATATTTATGACAGTCACAGTGTCCCAGGGACATGTGAAGTGACCAAAACCTGCTGCAACCACCCAGCAGACGAGGGGGAATAAAAACCAAACACCCCCCACCCCCGCTGCCAATCCTCAACAGAAATGCTCACAACAATGAAAACCTCAGACAGGAGGAAGAGCGCAGCCGGGCGGGCAGGCAGGTGTCTTGCTCGGCTGTGGCTTGGGGGGCACTTTTTTCAATGCCATTGTAACTTTAAACAGTCACTAAGCAAACTGTTGTAAGTCGAGGACTACCTGTACTTTATCACTTTTTTCCTTCCTTTTTTTTTTTGGTCATCAAGTTTTTAACACCTTGCTAGGCGACTGGTAGTACTTGGATGTGGTACAATGGGTGAAAAGGTTGAAAAGCCCTGCACTGGAGGAGCCTCACTGTTCTTCTCAGGCCATGCAGGGGGGGGGGCTTATGGAGCTAAGACTGAATGCGTTTCAGCATAGATGGCCACCACAAAATTGTACATTGGCTCCCGGCCGGCCTGGGCCAGGGCCAAGGCAGAGGGGGCCATTCCCTCACTGTTTCCAGGATGGCTTCGCGGGCCACATGAAACCACTTCGCAGGCCCCATCCAGCCCCCGGGCCTTGTGTTTGACATGTCTGCTCTAACAGTTATTTTTTTATTTATTTTTAAAATGTATAAATAGCCTACTCTGGCAAGTGCCTCTTTCTCAAACCAGTGAAGTCACAGGCACTGTAATCCAAAAGCCATCTGTCAGGGAAGGCTAATATTAGAGTAGACAGGTGATCCCAATACCAACTATTTTTTCATAGAAACTGTATACCTAACAATCTGAGTTGCAAACATCCCAATGATCACTTGGTGGCAGTAACAAGATTCAGATACCTTTGACTCCACTCTTACTGTTTCCCCGAAAATAAGACCCGGGCTTAGTTTTTTTTCACCTCCAAAAGAGGCATTAGGTCTTATTTTCGGGGATGTCTTATTTTTTTCATGTATACGAGGTGAGCGTGGGGTCAACAGGAGTAGAAGCGACTTCCACCCCTCCTGCTTGCTGACCCTGCTGCGGCTGGGACACTTCTTGGCCAGGGCAGGCACCCTGCTGCTGCTGGCATTGCAGGGGCTCTTCCCCCTCCTGGCTGCTGTGCTCTCAGTCACCCTACTTGTGTATGGGAGGGTGTGCATGCCACGACTCGGCACAACAGCTGGATCGGCTGAGCTCAGCCTGGACCCACCTCTTGTTCCATCCCTCTGGGTGCCTAGAGACGCCCACCATGCCTGAGATGCCAGGCAACCCAAGGGGCCCTCTCTTCTGCAGCTCACCTTGTGACTCTGGAGCAGGCAACACTGCCTCAGGACTGCCTGTCCTGACTACCGTACAGCCCAGCAACATGTCATCTGCGTCCCCCCTTTCCTCTCATGATCTGGGGAAACGGGCCCTTGTCCTTCTAGTCTCCCTCTTGGCAGGTGGCTAAAGCACCAAGTCTAATCTACATTTATCACATTTATATGACCACCCATTTCACCAGAAATGACATTAGAACGTTAGGATTTCCAAATGGTCTTCTACCCATATTCTGGGTTGACTCTGCTGAACATTTAGAGACCATACCATGTGGACACACCTACTTTCCTCTTTCCTAATCCTGCCTCTTCATCCTGTTTCAACTGATTAAAGAGACATTCCTGAGGATTACACTTCTGTACAAATATAAGCCACAATCCTATTTGGCTGCATGCTAATCTTTTGATTTGAAATTGTGGCCTTTATGTTTTTTTAAAAATATGTGTTAAATTTTGAAGTGCAGCTTTTAAGTTTAGAAATTTTTTTCATGATCCTGACCTTAGACAAGGCAGTTTCCAGATCTGGATAAAGCAAGATGGCAGCAAAGAGATGTTTCAAAATAAAAAATCCTAACTCTTTCTTGTCATCCAGTTGTTCAGATTTTGGCAGCCCAGATAAAGTTGGGATAAAAATGTCATTAATGAATAAATAAAATAAAACAACATGATTTGCAAATGAAAGCAAGTCATTTGTATAAGCTTAAAGGGTGAGGGTGTCCCTTCGAGTCAGCTTTTGACACCTGGTGACTGCCTGGATAAGTCACTGCAGTTTTCTTGGTGAGGTTTACCCTCCCCCCCAACTACTTTGCCCTTGCCCCCTTTCTAGGGCTGAGAGTAACTGGCCCAAAGTCGCCCAGGTGGCTTTGCCTCTAAAGTTTCTAGCCTGGTGTCTTCACCATTAGATCAATCTGCTAAGAGAAACCCGAATTTAAGTCCACATAGTTCGAAGCCTCGCTTTCCTAGTATAAGAGGACAGAGGCAAGCATTGCTTTGCGCTTCAAACTTCGAAAAACGAGGATGGAGAGAAGATCAAACTTTTTTTCTCCTGGGACCTCGCCCGCTTTATCTTGTTAATCTACAATTCTCTAACATCTCTATATGTCTCATGCTGGGCTTTCTAGTGTTCACAGGTTAAACCCGTCCGTGACGATAGTTGGGATTCCCAGGCACCGCCCTCTTCGCCAGCGATCCGAGCAGCCCCATGAGCGCATGCAGATGTCAGAACTGCAACAGTAGCAGCAGAGACCAAGCTGCACACGAGGCGGGGCCCGACGTAGACTGCAGGTCCGAAGTCTTTTTCCCGCAAACTAAGGGAATTCTGCCCTCACCAAACATGGCTGCCTGCGCACCGATTGAGCTTCCTCTTCCTGCAGACTTCAAAATGGCCATCCCGCTCCGTTATGGATTAAGCGTGCCCACATTTGATATGGCGGATCTCGCTCACTTTGGTAAATAGACAAGAGCATAGGGAAAGGGAAAGAGAAGCTCAACTTCTGATGCTTTCCTGAGTAACACCACGGCTTCTTTCCCGGAAGGCTCGGGATTTATAGAACTTTACCGATCTCTTCATCATTGGACCACTAGATCCTAAACAATCACGGCACAGTAAGTGACGACGCGCATTGGAGATTGCCCGCGGTCTGAAGTTACGACTCCTAACCGCATGGATTCCAACGGATGGAAAAAGCCCCCCTCCCCGTGACGGACGTGACGTTGACTCAGGACGTAGTGCGGTGGAGGGACACGCAGAGATAAGAGAGCGTTTAGCCGCGCGGCATGCTGGGAAGCGGCGAACTAAGTGGGCGGCGAGGGGAGGTGGGTCAGTCCAAGGCGTTTCCTGGGCTCCGGGACGGGAGGGGGAAGTTCGAGATGGATTCACCTTAATGGCGGTTACCGCGGGAGGCCTCGAGTCACCCTCCCAGCCCCGTCTGGCCCGGCCATGCCCGGCCCAGCTGACCCTGCAGGAGCCCAAAGGTAAGGAGCGCGGCTGCTGCTGCTGCCGAATATGAAGCACACAGCCAGGCGGACCCTTCGCCTCGGTTGCCTGCTATCTCCCAGGAAGCGGGTCCGGAGCGTGGAAGGGAAGCCGCCGCCGCCGCCGCCACCTGTGCTCCAGCCTCCCTCTAGGTTCCGGACTCGTTTCGCCGTGGAAACGCACCCCTCGGGTCTGAAAAGAGGAACGAGTCCCCCGTTTCGGGTGGCAGGGTGCAAGCCCGGGCGCGACCCGGGAGCCCCTTTCCCTGCCTGGCTCGGGAGACCGGGCGCCTGTGGCGTCTGTTGCTAGTGAGGTGTCTTTGGAAAAGTCCAAGTGGCTTACTTGGCATTACATAAGGCCGCGAAGGAAAAGGAGAGTTAATATCTGCTCGCATAAAGGAGGGAGACTTTCAACCTTCTTTTGTTGGTCCCTTCCCTACCTCCTTACCCAGCACAGCAGTACTGCCATACGAGACCGGACCAAACCCGTCAGTCTCCACGACCCAAAGAAAACCTCAACAAGGGTTCGACAGAGACTCTTTGTTCTCCTAAGGCAGTAGCTGGTGCATCGCTGGCCTGTAAGTACCGGGTTTTCTTCATCTCTTTTCCATCTCCAGCTGTTTCATTCCTCCATAGGTGAAGATGGATCAAGCGGTGGTGATTTTGTGCTGATTGGCACTGTGCCATATTAGTTTTTCATATCAGGAGTGTGACACAAATTAGGCTGCTGGAATTGCTTCCCACCTACCTACCCAAGTATTTTTTTTTAACCCTTAAGATAACTGTTCATTTTGAAAGCAAAAAAAAAAAAGTTAAATTAGGTTGCTGGAATTGCTTCCCACCTACCTACCCAAGTATTTTTTTTAACCCTTAAGTTAATTGTTCATTTTGAAAGCAAAAAAAAAAAAAAAGTTAAAACAGCTGTTTAATGTCACAGCAATATTGTGGAAGCTGACACTTATCAAGTCTTATTTTTGTCATTACTTTAAAGGTTAACAAGTGGGTTTCAATTAAAAATTCTCATAAAATTACCGAACTACTCCCCCTCCAATCTTTTGTTTCATTGGAATTGACAACCCCAGCTTCAGACCTGGGGTAAGGTTCTCTTACCCCTCCCCTGTTCTAACAGCAGGTATGGAACAAGAAATGCACTAGTTTCAAGAGATTTGCTGCTTTCCTCAAAATATTCCTGGCATATTTCTATTTTGCTTCTTTGTGATATCAGAGGAATACTTCCTGCAACAGGAAGAGAGAGGCGGTCAATTATCTCTACGGGTATTCAAGAATGGACTTTTTCACTTATACTGGTAGAAAGAGAAAAAAAGCTAACCTTTGTGGGTGCTCTCCCAATCATCAACCTTTTTATGACTTAAAAAACAACTTAATTCTCTATATTTGACCATATTTCCCCTCCTTTTTAAAGCACATTTTTGTCTGAATAAGGGTAGGCAAAAATTTCCAAACTACCATGTTATAAAAATTCATATATGACCTTTACTCTGAGAGCAGGACTTACTTTGTACTTTTTGTTTTGATGTTTCATGCACGTGTAAGCAAGAGGGAATGCAGCAACACAGGTAGTAATGGGGATGTTTTAAATGCCCATGTGTCATCAGTGCTGTGTGAGTTGCATTGGTTGCTACATGACTTCAAGGGTTGATTGTCACTTATAAAGTCCTTCACAGAAGAGGACTTCATTATTTGAGAGACCACGTTTCTCCAGTGGTTTCTGCCCATCAAATAACATTGGGAAGAGTAGGGGTGCTCCAGTCCCTTCAGTCAGTCATCTAATGGGACCCTGGAAGCACACTTTCTCCCTTGTAGTACTTGTCATCTGGAACAGCAGAGATTTACATGGCTCTCACCATACAGAGGTTACCTATGTCTTTGAAAATGGGATTTGCTCCCACACCTGGAGTTAGGTTGTTTGTTGAGCTCCAGGTGGTTTTCTTTCGTATTACATTACGTGATTTTATCTAGATGTGCATGTTCTTTTTTTTTGTCTTTTAATTATGTAGGCCATCTGGAATTACCTGGGAGTCAGGTGACCTCCGAATCAAATAAGATAGTTGTAATAATAGCCCTGTGTGCAAAATTAAATTTTGGGTTGAATCACACTAATCATAACTGATAGACCCACTGAGATTCATTAAGGGGGCTTAAATTTCAATGGGTCTTTTCTAAATATATCTAAGCTTAAATCTGTCCCTGTTCCTCTACATTAACACATGTTCGATATAGAACCAGCTAAAGATGTGGTAGATAATTTTGAGTTATAAAGTTTCAGGATAGATAACATTGTATGAATGTGTTAGAGTTTAATCTAAGGCAAGGAAATTCCAAAATGTTTGTTACGATATTAAATACTGAAAATTACATCAATTTGTGTGATTCTTCTCTAGATATCTTGGTTTTCCTGTTAACTACCTACTACTTTTTATCACTAATTATTACAGCTAGTGACTCTGCCCAAACTTCAAAGGCATGTTTTTAACTCACTTCAAGTAGGATTTTTTTTCTTCTATCAATCATGTCTACCGTATTTATCGGCGTATAACACGCACTTTTCCCCCCTGAAAATAGGGGGCAAATGATGTGTGCGTGTTATACGCCGATATACGGCCAGCCCGGGTAAATTCGGCCATATTCTTCAATACGGGCCGGCCCCAGCAGTTCCCCTCTCCTCTTTGTGTGTGTGTGTGTGTTTGTCTCTCTCTCTCTCAATTCTCCCC